TGAAAAACTGAGAACCTTTAGAAATAATCATATTTTTTCTACTGGTACATATCAATCAATATTTAGTTTAAATTCTCTATCAATTCCCCTAGTTCTTAAGGTGATCTTTGCCCTGGAAAAAAATGAGAATAGTAGACAAAATTTCCCCAAAGTTTTGTTCACTATTCAGTTAAAAAACAAAACAAAACAAAACAAATACTTGGCACTTATAACTGCTTATTATTTTGAAAAATGTAATTTTGGGAAGAAAAATTTTAATTATTTTTAGGAAGAGTCTATAAGAAACCCCAGTGAGATACTCTGTAGAGAGGTCCTTTGTTAGTGTAACATCTGACCTTCTATATCTTTGGAAATCATACAACTTGGCTAATGTAGTCCTTACAGAATTAATCAAGCAGATTGTAAGGCCCTAGTTACAGTGGAGCCAGCCAATTATGAGTTGCTCAGAAATTCATCACTGGCATGTCCAACCACATTTTCCCACATAAAGATTAGTAGAAATATGTTGGAAACAAGGCCCATTCCCACCCCAGCACAGCTACAGCATGTGCTCAGTGAAATTCAACAAAAGTTTTGCTTTAGTAAAACAATTTGAGAATCTTTTTGATTCCTGTCTTTAACCTAATAACTTCTGCCAACATTGCAAAGACTGCCCTATTTACTTAAAATCCAACTAGGAACTTTTATATTCAAAAACAATTCTCAATTCAGTGCCTGAATTCATAAGTAAGTTGGTGAAATCCCCAAATACAATCTTTTTGTCTTTTTACTTTTGTGATAACACCCTCCTGAGCCTTATACTAAAGAGAAAGCTTTTTCTGCAAGAAGGAAATGAAAGGGGCCAGAGTAGATGAAGATTGGTTCTCTAAGGAGAGGGCAGTGCTGCTCTTAAATAAAGAAGCTCCTTTCAGATAAGCAGAATCAGATTCCAGTTCAGTTGGTTTGCTGGCTACCCTTACTTTGAACTCTCATATTTAACCCAGCAGGCTTCAAAGCAGGTGAGAAAATGACCTACCACTTAAAAGCAATTTTTCCTTTTTCAGGAATTCTGGCCTTGGAGAGTATCAGCTCTGATATCAGCACATTCCACATCACTAGGGATTTATGCAACTTTTTTCATTGCTGTATGTCTAATGTCAGACCAGGTTTTCATCTCAACCAGGAGGAAAAAAAAAAGCCGGGGTGGGGGCGCAGGCCTAACTTGTTAAAAATATTAAGTCTTATTCCACAGAGCATTATACCATGCAAAACTAGAGGCATTAAAACTACTACCATTCTAGTTCATTCTCTTCTGTTTATCAAAATCTGATGTGCCATGAGAATTATTAAAAACTATTAATCCCCAGTGCCAGGCATCATAAAAATTTGTAACAAATCCATTTTAAGAAATTAAATTTGAATTTACTCTAGCATGTGAATTAATATAAAAAGTGTTATATGAGGAAAAGACAATGGTAACAATAAACAAATTTAGTTGTTTTTTTTTTTTTTAAATTTTGAGACAGGGTTTCATTAAATTACTTAGGCCCTCTCTAAGTCGCTAACACTGGCTTTGAACTTGTGATCCTCCTATTTCAGCCTCCTGAGTCACTGGGATTACAGGCACACACAACCATGCTCAGCTTAGGATATTTTCTTGAATGGCTTCACCTTACCAAGTAAAAATATAAATACATTTCAAACATATTTCATAATCTGGATGTGGTGGTACAGCTATATAATCCCAACTATCAGGAGGCTGAGAGGGGAGGATGACAAGTTTGAGACCAGACTGGCCAGCTCAGACCTTGTCTTAAAATTAAAAAAAAAAAAAAAAATTGGGAATATAGCCTAGTAGTAGCAACCCCTGGGTTCAATCCCTAGCATTGGAAAATAAAACAAATATGTACTTCATCCTTTCCCGACTTAACTGAAAATCCTAATAGAGGCAGCTTGCAATATGCCAACAGGCTTTATTCTATAAGGCAGTTTTCCAGTGCCAGAAACTTGAAACAGTTCTCTCTTTGTGGTTCACATACACATAATATGCTAAGGGTATAATGCTAATAATATTGTTTAAATGACACTCAAGTTACCATTTATGCTTCAGTTTCCATGGAAAATGCATTTTGATTAGGATACAACTCCTCCAAACAAGGAGAAGGCTCTTTTGTGACAATGATGAAGGGAACAACAGCTAACACCTACTTTTTATTGTGGGCAGACACGGTTCTAAATACTTGATATATTTTAAGCTCATTTAACCTTCACCAAAATCTATAAGTTAGCACTATTCTCATTTTACAATTACAGATAGAAAAGGTTGGGGCTAAGGTTGGGGCTCAGCAATAGAGTGCTTGCCTAGCATGTGTGGGACCCTGGGTTTGATCCTCAGCACCACATAAAAATAAATAAACAAAATAAAGGTATTTGTCCATCTACAACTAAATTTTTTTTTTTTTAGAAAGGGTAGAAAAGGTTAAGAAACTCACCTGTGGCTGCATAGCCAATAAACGTAAGGGCTAGAATCTAAAGTAAAGTAGTATGGTCCTCAGAGTCTCTGCTCATAACCACTCTGCAATACTTCTCCATCTGGATGATATGGCACTAGCAAGTGTTCTGCATCCCTCATATTGGTGAAGGAGAACAGAACAAGGTTTCTTAAGCTTAAAATGCATATAGAATAACCTGGTGATGTTGTTAAAATGTAGATTCTGATTCAGGAGGTCTTCAGTGGTGCCTGAGGTTCTGCACCTTTAACCAGTTCCTGGGTGAAGCTGGTGCTCCTAGTGCATGGAGTGAATAACTAGAACTTGGGCCTCTAGTTCCCTTACTATTTTTTTGTCAAGGCATTTGTAAGTTGTGTTTATGAACTGGAGACTGCCCATACTATAATTATTTTCCATTAACTTTCAAATGATACCTGCCTTTGGAACTACCATATGAGAAATGCTGCTGTTACCAACCACACAAATACCCAAAGATAGTGAATAAATGTTTGTTTTATTGTTCATCAACTAGAATCACAGTATATCAATAACTTTTGGTTTAAAAAAGAAGCTTTTCACTTTCAAATATGTAATTCTTCACTCTCAAGATGCTGCTGGAGAAATGCTAAAGAACTTATGCTAAGTAATCTTTAAGACTCTTCAGGTGCAATTGGTGACCTCTTAGGTAAAGGCAGTCACTATACACCAACAAGGATGAATAGAGCATACACTGACTACACTTTGCATTAATTTTAGCTAGTAACTCATGGAACTATACTACTAACAATTGCTACATACCTACTCAAGATTTTAGATCTCCTTGCCCTATACCTCCTCCTTCCCACTCCACTGCCCTGAAAGAAACCCATGGATCATCCCTCCCATTGCTTGCCTGTATCTTTTAAATACACAGGTATGCCTTTTTCCTAGCTATTAAGTGAATGGAATTCCCTTTTTAGTCCTGTTTTTTGTTTTGTTTGTTTTTTCCATACCAGATTACACAGTAAGGTCATTTCAGTTTGAGATGCACTCAATTCCCAATCAGCACACTACAAACAACAGAGTTATGATATAATTAATCACAAACTTCCTTTTTACATTAAAAGGAAACAGAATAGTCAGTTTCCAACTTAAATATCTATACTCCCTGAACAACAGTGGAAATTCATTCTTCTTGAAGCCTGTCCCAGAATCAATGCATTCTCAGACTCCCAGGCCTATAGCCAATGGCAACTTAACACATTGTACAGTTGACCTGCAGGGAGAAAGGGAAACCAGTGCTCTTACCACTGGTGCCAGAGAAAGCCAACTGGTCTGTAAGGCACACAATAAACTATTCTTAAGACAAGCAAAGAAATTGTGAGGGAAACAGGAAGTCAGAATGGAAGCATATAGGAAAAAAATACAGAAAATAGAAGTCCAAGTAAGGACTAGTTTTTCTATGGCTCTGAGTGCTTTTATATTTGGGAATATAATGAATCAGCATTTTAAATATTTTCAAGTTTTAACTTTTATTACCTAGTAAGACTGCAAAGATTACAAGAAAAGATGGATTTCTAAAAAGTCTTCAGAGATTTTAGGAGAATTATCTTTAGTAATTTTACTTTGAGCCAGTGACAATAATTAACAAATTTATATAGAAGAATGAATAGTGATGGAACAGCCTCTTTAATATCAGTCCTTAAGTACTTAGTGAGTTGGGAAGTGGACAATTCAAAATTAAAGAGTAAATATAAAAATAAAGGCCTATCCATAGCTCTATATCCAAGATTTTGGAAGGTCTACATGAACAAACAGACAAATTAAGAGAACCTTTGAATATAGAAACACATTCTAAATGCAAGGCAAACATTCTGTCGGATCCATTTTACCTACTTATACTCCATCCTACTTGATTTTCAAGTTCAGCAAATCCTTAGAACTAATGATTTAATGTAAATGGAAAAATCAAAAGGCTAGTTTACAAAATAGGGAGCTTATTCTTTTTTTGTACTGAGTATTTAACTGAGGGGCATTTTACCACTGAGTACATCACCAGTTCTTTTTATTTTTGAGACAAAGTCGAGCCAAGTTGCTGAGGGTCTCATTAAATTGCTGAGGCTGGCCTTGAACCTGTATTCCTCCTGCCTCGGCCTCCCACGTTGCTGGGATTACAAGCATGCACCACCATGCCCAGCAAAACATGGAGGTTTTTAAAGGCCAAAGAAAGTGCAATAATGTTAAAAAAAATAATAATTTGAATGTTCTTTATCTAGTAATGAATGCTGTTTATCACTAGAAGTTATCTACAAAGAACAACTTCATAAAGTTATAGCATTGTATTCTTTAAATTTTAAAGCAACAGAAGTATATAGCTCAAATCACCAGAAATTTATGTTTGACATATTTGTGGTAGTAACTTTACAAATTGATTCCTGTAATTTACTATAACAAATATCTTTCACTGCTCATCTGGGTTAGTTCAAACAAACTAGAGATGGTGTCTTGTGTGTTTTACAAATATTCTACACAAGTCCTTGAGATCATACTTACAGCTTTAGCAAAAACACCCATGATTTCAGGAAATTGGTGAGTGAGAAGGGCTATCATTGCTGTAGAAGAACACAGTCCTGCTGTAAAATGGATGAAAAAAGGAAGCTCCTTCTTTGGATAAACAGAAACATGATGAAAGGCTGCAAAGGAAAAAGAGAAGGAATGAATTTTATTTTACAATATGATGTAAACTAGTCTTAATATTTTCAAATTAAAGTTATATATCTAAAAAACCAAAAGGAAAAATTTTTAAAGAAAAAAGTTATCTCTACCCAAGGAAGGTAAAAGAAATTAATCCATTATTAATTTCTAGCATCAACAGTATATCCACATAGCCAGATGACTGTTTTGGGGTTTGGGAACAGGATGGTATCGTGGGAAAGAACATTGATTACAAAGTCATGCTGAGGTGGTTTTGAAAAAGAGCTTTGTCACTTATTAGCTGTGTGATCATGAATAAGTTGCTAAACCCTGTAGAAGTTGCTATGGAGTTGTTAAGATGAACACTGTAAGTACTCAATAAATGAAAGTTGTTATTAATTCTTCTTCTTTGGAAGCTAAGACTAGTATAAAGAAACAGACATGTCATGGGGATTCCTAGACCACCAGTTAATAATAATTTTACACAGTTATTAATATGTTCTATATGTGCCTTTCATTGAGCACTGTAAAAATTAAACTAGAAAACCAAAGCCCTAAAATCCTGGCTATAAATGAATCCCTTGTCTTATTTTACCACATTTACATACTCATGTACCATTTTTCCAGTGGCTACAGATTTCATTACCAATTATACTCAAGTATTTATATTTTATTTAAAATTTGAAAATATCTGAATAATAATATGGAGATGAGCCTATTATAGTGCCTGACACACAGTAGGTACTCAAGAAATTTCATGAAACTGAGAGCTATTATAAGACTTAGAATAGCTCAGGAAGTTGACTGCTCAGGGCTGGACACTAACCCAGGAATTCCTGATGTAATATCCTGCATTAGTAAGGGATGACTAATTCGGTGCTGAACCAAGGTCAGCTATAAATTTCACTTTTTTAAACATAATGATTAACAGAGAGGATTACACCTAAGCTTCTTTCAATAGCTTTATGCATCATATTATATTCAAAGTATATACGAAAAGCCAAACTCATTTAAAAAATCCAGAAAATTACCATAACTTTGAGCCATGTTTAAAGTAAAAACACAATGGAACTGAATTTTTTTAAAAATTAGAAACTGTAGACAACATTGTGCTTTAGCACCCAAAGAACCAGCAATCCCCTTTGCCCTATACATCAGCTATGAAGTTGACTTCTTCCAGCAAACCAAGAGAAACAAACTCTGATATTTTAGAAGGCAGGGGATAAGACAGTAGAATTAATAATATTAGCTAAACAGTATAGCATTTTATGGCTTATAAAGTGCTCATTTGATTATTTTTCAATAACCTTGACATAGATAGCCTTCTTCCCATTTTATAAGGTAGAAAACTGCATAGCTTTAGTGGGAACATTTTCTAAAATATGAGATTTTTATACTGTAGAAGAGAACTAATTATTTCTTTTTGAATTGCTTTCTGTAGATTCATTTGTCAGTCAATGTTTGGCTAATACATCAATATAATGGATGACTGACCAGTACAGAAACACTCCCTTGGAACGAAAGTTCAAATTTCATCATTGGCTTGTAGAGAAAAATTTATCAGGAGGCATAAAAGACAAGTAAATAGCTATGTGAACTAGGGGAATAGTTCAAGCCTGAACTTATGAAGTCCATAAGCAAATTCCAGAATGCTGTAAGTCATATCAAGATTGAAGGAGAATTAAAAACAAAAAACATTAAGTACTCTTGGGTATTAGAACTCCACATTATTAAAAAGTTGTTCATTCTAACAGAAAAGTAAGAGACAGAAAAAAATAGCAATATATACTGTAATCAAACAAAATCCTCCAGTCATCTACTTCTACCTCCTGGAGTTTACACCTATATGGATTTAGAATTAATACAGGCTTGCCAAAAAATAAACTGTCTGGTCTTATAGCTTATGGCTCAACATATAAAAATAACTCCTGTTTTATTAATATCAATATGTAAAGTGGGCCTTATATTAGACAACCCTTGTAATAATTTACAAAGAAGCATTATTTTAATTGCCTTACCTAATATCTCAGATACTCCTTATTTGAAATTTTTTTTCTTCCTTTTGGTTTCTAGGATATCTACTTCTGGCTCTTGTTCTGGCTTTCTGACCACTCCTTCACTAAATTCTCAACTATTTTCCTGCTATCAGTTCCTTAGACATTTTTGTGCCCCCATGGTTCTACACTTAGTTCACTTCTTACACTATATAGTTTCCTTGTGAGATCTCAATCATGCCTAAGACTTCTTTTGCTATCTAGAGATATATAGAGAAAGAGATGCCAGGACCCCTGGAAATTTTATTTACATAGCCTGGTCCTGTACTTAGAAGACAGCTAAATAGACCAGAAATAAACATGTGGATAAATCTGATTCTCTTTCGTAGAAGTTGCAGGATTGAGATATTATTCATTTTGTATTGTTTGTGTGAACTGATGACATGTAAACACAAAGCCACAGGGGCATCAAGTTAGACCTCTTCAGTGTCTACAAAAGGAAAGTCAAACTGCAAAGAGAAAGATATAATAAAGTAGATAAATTGGGAGAAGCAGAAATAAGAAATCATATAAAAATAAGGAGGCAGGAGTTGGGGATGTGGCTCAGTGGTAGAGCGGTAACTAGCATGCACAATGCCCTAAAACCCCAGCACACCCCCCCCCACACACACACACACGAGGCAGGATGAGAAAGGAAAAACAGAAAGTGAGAACAAGAAAAACTGAAAAAAGAGAGCCAGAGATATGCAGACAACTGGCTTCAAGAAATCCTAGTGGCCATTTATTTCCTGATCATATCTTTTATGACATCCAACTATATAAGTGTTGTTTTGGGTTTTTTGATGACTTGGTATTTTTCCAACAAATTCCCATTTATGATGAGGTTAGAATGGTTCTCTTTTACTTATAACGAGAGTATGTCTCCAACATCTATTATGTGTATATCATATACATATACTTTACAATATATATATATATACACACACACAAATACATCTTAGACACATACATTATACAGATACAAAATATAAAGACTTATGTGTATGTAAAATTGATTATGTAATAAAATATTTAAGTACACATATACACACATATATTTATACACACAAACATGCATTTGTGCATAAATAAGTACAACATTATACAAACAACATAATCAAAGCCTGAACTTATCTATTTTCTCCACCTCTATTCCCAAACCTGCTCCTCCTGCTATAGAAAAGATCTGCCATTCTCAGAGTCACTGAAGTCAGAAAATTGAGATTCATCCTTGATTTCCTGAAGAGATAGGCTCAAAGTTTCCTTAAAATCTATTCCAAACATACAGCATTTAACACATTGTTTATCTATCAGTAACTTTCTATTAACCATGAGCAGCCTAGGAGTTCAGAATAGGGTAGGGAGGAAAAGATACTAATTTTTAACATTTTGTTGATTACTTACAATGTGCTTGGCATCTTTAGAAGAATAAGTTAATGAATCTAACTAATTTGAACAAAATTTATTGAATTATCTTTTATGGCGAACCTTAAAAGAGAGAATTACAGGGACAATAAAGAGAATCCTGGCCCTCAAAGAGTTTACAATCTAATGTGCATATATGATTATACAACCAATGTAATTCTACATGATGTATAACAAGAAGAATGAGAAGTTATACTTCATATATGTATAATGTCTTAAAATACATTCTACTGTCATGTATAACTAATAAGAACGAATAAAAAAGATCTATATAATTAAAAAGAGTATATAATCTAGAAGAGGAGCTCTCAAAGTGATCAGTATATTTATCTCAGCAGATGATGGAAAATAAACGACCCTAGGAGAGAAACAGCAGCATACTTAGTTTGCCATAACCTCTCCACTAGTGTATTCATTTATCTGAACTTTTTAGCTCATTAAATTTGATGGTTGTAAAACTGCAACTTTACTTCTCTAGTCTTCAGTTCTAATGGTTCAGTATAGTAAAAACTGGCACAGATTTTCATCATGAGAAAAGACGGTACTAGTGTTTAAACCCTTTCGCATGCTTACTTATCAGTTAAATCATAAAATATAAACAGAAATTTAACAGTTCACATAGAAAAGGAGTGAGGCCAAGTTTATATTACTCTTTTAAGAATTCCTTTGATAGTTTATTCTTTCTTCCTAAAGGCAAAGACTATACTGAAATACTCTCAACAATCTTGAACCCACTGATTTCTGGTTCTTCTACTTCTCCTCTGACTGTTCTTCAAACTGGGAAAGGTAGCTCCTCTAACTTTGTTCCTTATAAAAACTGTCTGGGGGCTGGGGATGTAGCTTAGTGGTAGAACACTTCCCTGGCAAAGACCTAGGTTCAATTCCCAGTACCACAAAACAAACAAAAACTGTTCTGGCTAATTTGGGTCTTTCCATATAAATTTTAGGGTCAGATTGTTATTTTTTTTTGCAAAATCACTCCTGGGATTTTGATGGAGATTGTATTAAATCTATAGATTAATTTGAGGAAAACCTCCACCTAAATATACTGGGTCTTTCAATAAATCAACATGAAATGTCTCTCCATTTATATAGATTTCTGTCAGCAATTTTATACTTTTTAGTACAGTTGCAATTTTGTTAAATTTATTCCTAAGTATCTTAATCTCTGTTATTGAGATTAGAATTATTTTGTAAATTTCACTTTTGTGATTTTTATTGCTAGTATATAGATATAAAATCAATTTTTTTTTCACTAGGAATCAAACCTAGGGCTAATGCTTATTAGGCAAGCATTCTAACACTGAGCTATACTCCTAAACCCAATATTTGAATGTTGGTCTTATAGACTACAACACTGCTGAACTCATTTATTTGTTCTAATAATATTTTTATGAATTTCTAAGGATATGTTACATAGCAGATCATATCATGTCATCTGTGAATAAAAGCAGTTTACTACTTCTTTGTCAATATAAATGACTTTTTTTTCCCTGTGGCTGATTACACTATGACCTCTAGTTCAATATTGGACAGAAGGTAAGAATTGGTATCTTGGCTTACTCCTGATCTTAAGGGGAAAGCATTAAGTATGATTTAATTGTTTTTTGTGGACACCCTTTATCAAGTTGAGAAAGTTCCTTTCTATTTGTAGTTTGAGAGTTTTTATCATGAATGGGTGTTTTATTAACACAGTATTGTCATGTTTTCAGATGTTAAACCAACTGTGCACTTGTGAGGTAAATCCCACTTGGTCATGATATATAATCCTCCTCTTATGTTGCTGAAGTCAGTTTGCTAATACTTTGTTGAAGATGTCTGTGCCCATATTCATAAGATTTATTGTTACAGTTTTTTTTTTCTTTTTTGTGGTACTGGGGATTGAACCCAGAGCCTCATGTATGCTTGGCAAGCATTTTTCCTTTTGAGTTACACCTCTAGCCCTAATCCATTTTATTTTATTTAAAGATGGGGTCTCACTAAAATGCTGAGGCTGGCCTTGAACTTGCAATCATTTTGCCTCAGCTTCCCAATTAGCTGGGATTACAGTCAAGTACCACCATGCCAGGTCTCAGTTTTCTTTTCTTATTATGTCTTTGTCTGGTTTTGGTATCAGGATCTCACCAAATGTGATAAGGAATGTTCACTCCTTGCTATCTGCTTTCTGACATGAGTTTGTGAAGAGTTGGTATTACTTCTTTAAAAAATGCAAGTAAGAAGACTGTTTTTATCTTTACTTTTTGTGTCCTTAATTGCATCTAGCACAGAATTTTGAACAATAAATATTTGGACATCAATTGAATTATGAAATTAGTCCTATAAGTAGTTATAAAACTATTTAAACAGTGTTCCAAATATAAACAAAAAGGACTTTTAAAATGAACAATACTTAGGAAATGCTGTGGTTTGATTGTAGTTTGTATCTCCTCCCCCTGAGGTTCATGTGCTGGGAACTTGGTCCCTAGGTAGCCAGTATTGAGAGATACAGCTTTCAAAAGGTAGGGCTTGGTAGGAGGTCCTTGGATCATTGGTGGCATGCCTTTTGAGGGATTGTGGGAAGCCAGTCTCTCTCTGCTTCTAATTCAAGATGAATCAGTTGATGTTTCTGCACATGTTCCTGCCATTGTTATCTGCTTTCTGACATGATGCTGCCACCATGACCACAGAGCCTACACAATGCCATTTCAAATCCCAAAACTGTGAGCTAAATAAATCTCTTTTTTTCCACAAGTAGCCTATGTCAGGTATTTTGTTGCAGTGATGAAAAGGTAACTAATAGAGAAAACAACCAAAAAGTCATCTAAACAATTATAAGCTTAATAAAACTAAAATATTTACTTACTAGGTAAGAGCTCTCTATCAGCAGTCTCTGTGCAGCTAGGATAAGGGTAAAATAGATGTCCTTTCTCTAATGGGTATGGAATCATTCTAAAAGCTGAAAAAAAATACATATGTTGACATTCAATTCTGTCTTATTTATCATCTAATGTATGCTATAAATAAAAAACTTACCTTGGAGATATACTTTTAAAAGTCTTTATATAATATTTTATTTTCTTTCTTAGAGCAAGATTTTAGATGAAAGACACACACAAAAGCAAAAGAATGAAACAGAAAAAGAATAGGCAAGACTTTAAAGTAGAGAACTATAAGTGTCTGGACCGACTAGAGTAAAATTAAAGGTACTGGCTGGAGCCTTCTTTGTCTCAGTCTCTTCATTACAATCATGGACTTAACTCCACAAGTATAAATTCTGCTCCTAACAGGAACCTTCATAAAACTATAATGTTTATAATTGTTGTGGTCCTAACTATTGGCAAACTAAAGGAGATCTAACTTCACATGTGAGGTTCACCATGTGAACCTTAATCTAGTTCAGGGATCACCAAAGTGCACCCCTTTGGCTAAATAATTTTTTGTTATATTTTGTTTTGTTAGGGATCAATCCCAGGTCATGGTTCATTCTAAGTGAGAAATCTACCACTAAGCACACCTCCAACCCAAACTGTTTGTTCGATTTTTTGCCTTTTTTTTTTTTTTTTTTGTCTTTTTTAAGACAGGGTCTTGCTAAGTTACCCAGGCTGCCCTCAAACTTGTAATTCTTCTCCCTAAGCTTCCCAAGTAGCTGCGATTACAAGTGCCCACCAGTGTCCTGGCTCTACACTATTTGTGTAAATAAAATTTTATTGGAACATAGACATGCTATTCATGGGTTGTTTCTGTGCTATAAGACTTGAGTAGATGTACAAAGACTAGAAGGCCTGCAAGGTCTGAAATAATTATTCTTGATCGTTCACAGAAAAAGTTTGTCCACCCTTAATTTAGGTCATCACCAACTCTTGAAGAATTATCAAGAAATCCTTAATGATCTAGTCCACTAAATAGTCATCAAAATCATGATAAAGTTTTTGTTTTTTTCTTTAGTGGTTAATTCTAAAAATGTTTGTCAAAATACAGATTTTGTTTGCCACAAAGTAGTTATTTGCCCAAACTTATTCAGCAAATCAGTTATCATTTGAGGAAATCATTCATTAAGATACATAAAATGGGGCTAGGGACATAGCTCAGTTGGTATAGTGCTTGCCTTTTTTGCATAAGGCCCTGGGTTTGATCTCCAACACCACAAAAAAAAAAAGAAGATACATGAAATACAGTATAAATCATAATATATTTATTGAAAATAATCATATTGTTATTGGAAATTCCTTATGTTTCAAGCAGATGGACAGGCACTAAAAATACATGTAAGATGAATGAGATAGAGCACCTGGTTTTGAGGGCCTTATAGATCACTGACAAAATCTAATTACTCAAAAACATAAAAAAATAAAGCATTCAGCAACTCAAGTTCATAATCTCAGGGTTTTGTTGTTTTGTTTCATTTTATTTCAATATTAGGGATTGAATCCAGGGACATTCTACCACTGAGTTACATCTTCTATCCTTTTTGAAAAAATCTGAAGACATGGTCTTGCTAAATTAAATTGCCCAGGTTGGACTTGAATTCGTGATGCTCCTGCCTCAGCCTCCTGAGTTGCCACCATGACCAGCTCATAAACTCAGTTTATTAATCTTATTATTGTCAATGTCAAGCACAGAGTACAACTGTTAGCAAATGGTTAATACAGAGGTTCCCAAATTTTCTTGGTTCAAGGACACATGGTGCCCTTTGTGACTGTTTTACTTTTGTTTGTTTGGTTGGTTGGTTTTTGGAGGAGATACTGGGGATTAAACCCAAAGCCTCACATGTACTAAGTGTATTCTATATTTTTCTTTTGTTTTGTGGTGCTGGAGATTGAACTCAAGTCCCCATGCATGCTAAACACGTGCTCTATCACTGAGCTACCCCCTCTGCCCTGTTCTAATATTTTAAAAATTGAACTGGTTTTGTTTTTTGGGGTAGCGGGAATTGAACTGAGGGGTACTCAACCACTGAGACACATCCCTGGCCCTATTTTGTATTTTTGTTTAGAGACAGGGCCTCACTGAGTTACTTAGCAACTTGTTTTTGTTGAGGCTGGCTTTGAACTCATGATCCTCCT